TTTTTCAACAAGGAGTTTATTCTTTTCTAACTCTTCTTTTAACTCAGTATTCCCTTTTTCTAAAATAGCATTCTTTTCTTCTAATTTCTTATTTTTGTCATAAATAAAATTAAAAGAATCGGCATTAGTTAGTGTTCACTCAGTAAAACTTTTAACAACATTTTCAAGAGTGAATTGATTGTTAAAAATAACTTTCTCAATTCCATTTTCTTTTTGAACATTGACTCAATTATCTTTGGGTCAAAAATGTTGTTCTAAGGTCATTAAAGTTCCAGCAATTTCTGGACTTTCATTTTCCTTAACATTGTCAATAGTATTTCAAATTCTTAGTTTAAAATCATCTTCTTTGTTTTCTAATTGCTTTTTTAATGTTTTTATTTCATTTAATAGTTCTTTATTTTCTTTTTGTTGTTCATTTATGATGTTTGTCATGATTTTCTTGTTTTTCTTTTTAATTAACGAAAAGACCTGCACAGAATTTAGCCAATTAGAATTTCCTTCCATAACGTCGATCATTACAGGGTATTATCCCTGGTTGAATTTAGCCAATCAGAATTTCTTCTAGAATTTTTCATATATATACACAGTGAGTCTCGATTTAGCGGACCTCGATTTAGCGGATTTAGGGGTTTAACGGATAAATTTTCAAAACCATATATGTCACTTATAATAAAATTCTCTCGATATTACGGATAATGATGATCATTGCCTTTTTTGGATAGCCTAATTTTATAATAAGCGTATAATAAATAAAAGTAATGATGCATTATTAATATTAAATATTAACAACATTTAATCGAACATATTGTTAACTATTTCTTGGTAATGACACTTATATAATGTCATTTTTTTTTTATTTCTTTAAATGCCGACGAATTTATCAAAATCTTGAATTCGAAGAAGAAATGACGGAACAAGAAATTGTAAACATAGTGTTGGGGCAACCTGAAGTTGAAGATAATGGGGATATTGATAAGATAAGTGAGCCAATTGTAACAAATACAGAAGCTATAAATGGTTTGGAAAATGTATACAACAAAAAGATTTAGAAGTTGATTCTCAAGTAATTATTGAAGTTAAAAAGAGAAAATTTCTTATAGAAGCACCCAAGAAGCAAAACAATGTCGCATTGATAAATTTATCAGTCGACAATGATATTATTATTATTATTATTATTATTATTTATTATCCGTTATATTTTGTTTTTTATATACAAAATTATTTTAAATAAAAAAAATTTTTTTTGTATATACGCATTTAATTTGTATCACATGATTTGATCATAAGTTTCGATTTAGCGGATCTCTTGATTTAACGGATAAATTTTCTGGAAAAAAATATCCGTTAAATCGAGACTCACTGTGTATACCATCGATCATTATAACATTTAGTATTTCCAAATTTAGTAAAATACTTGACTGAACTCACCAATAAAAATTTTTAAAATTGCACCATCAAAACAATTTGATATTAAAAAACAACAATTTATTTTTTTTAATACATACATTATTTTACTCTCCATCCAGTTCTTGAATAATGGCATCACTTTTCGATTCGAACCTTTTTGAAGCTCTCCATCACCCAGGTAAGCTTCTATCCAGACTTTCATAATTAATTTTAAGCAGGAAGAAAAACTTAACTCTCTTTTCATAGACTACTGGAATCGCAACCCAAATTCATGGGGAAGTTTGAGTGATTGGGATATATACTATATCAATCATACACCTGGTAGCACAAAAATGAAAGCACATCGGTCACTTGGATTGGAACTTAAAGTTCTTCTAAAAAGGCTTTCAAAAACAAGCTATGGTTATTATAAGACAATTGAATTACAAAAGCTCTTGAAGGTCAGCATTTTTATTCTAAATTGAAAGATTTTTCTTCAACCATTATTTTAGGGACACCAATATCATGCACGCCCTGCAATTGCTAATTGAGTGACTTTGTCGCAGATGGCAAAATGTTTCTTTGCTTGAAGTGGGCAGAAAGCAAAATGTTCTTTGTTTTATAGGGCCTTCAGGCCCAATATGCTTGGTGGTTCCATTGATATTCGCCTATAATCGCACCCTGCAATTGCTAATTGAGCGACTTTGTCGCATAGGGCAAAATGTTTCTTTGCTTGAAGTTACAATTTGGGATTTTCAGATCTGGTTGTAACATGCATGGTTAGGCAAGCTACCAACCGCGATCATCTAATACAACAATTATTTGCGCATACTCACAAATAACTGTGATATTTTTTTTGAAGGATTGTCATAACGATCCAGTGAATATAGAATTGTGGCAAGAACACTCTACAAAATTAGGAAGGCTAGCTGTTGAAAATCGAATGAACAAAGTATGACTTTATTACCATGGAAGACTCTGATATAACCTTTTCTTTAAATGGCTGCCATTAGCGTGAGATCTTAACTGTTGGAATACGTGCTGCAACTATTGCAGTGGCAACCGAGTTTCCCAAAGAAAAAACCAAGGAAGAAAAAATACAAGAGAAATTCTGGACAGTAGACGATTTTGATGATAACAAGGAGAATGATTATGAGCCAGATGACGCTGATGAAAAGATTGTCACAACATCAAACACATCCTTATGTAATCCAACTGATGATGATGAATTCACTATGCAAGACATGGAATTGTTTACGCAACGGAAAGAACATTTTTTTTCTCTTACGCAAGTATTGACTATGTAGATATCACTTAACTGTCACCTAATATATAGATTTGAGACCATGAAAAACGAGAAAAAATGGAAGCTCAAGACTGGGAAATACGTGGAAGACGTCTTGTATGATTTGGGAAAGAAATCTAAATTTCACAAGTGAGAGAGAGCCATGTTACATATAATGGTGCTTTTATTATGCATAATTGCTGACCGACCTAAATTTCATTCATATTCCAGCCTCGTCCATTCCTTTATTGTTGACCCTGAGGATAAATTTCTGCAATCGGGATTTACCACTGATGAACTTACAGAGATCTGCGAAACAATGACCGTGCAAGAAGCACCTCAAATAGAAGGTGAACTATTGGAATATATTGATACCTTTGCAAAGGTAAATTGTCAGGGTGTTGCCATTCCAAACCTCTAGAATTTTATAACAGAAGTTAATTCTCTGTATATAGACCTCCACGAAAGACATACGTGAAGCGCTATATGCTTCTCACCCCAGACTTTGTCGTGATTATAATCCTCTCGTCGATTTCGCTTATGAACATGTGAGGACAACAGTTACTGATTGGTAAGTGACAAGAAAAGTTCTCGTAGCTCATATGTAATGTTAATAAATGAATATTATGTAGGGTCCGTTTGTTAGAAATGCAGCCAAACCCGCTTACACAACAAGATTTACCAGAAAGTTGGTTTCGGATTAATGTCTGGAGAACCGTCGACATTGCTTTCTCAGATACGCCTTTTGTATTTTTCGTTGGGTGAGTAAAAGAGTAACTATACATGATCGCCATCCATTACTTTATAATTAATTTTACTTTTCCTGAAAAAATGACAGAGGAGAAAAAGCAGGATTGGCAAGCACAGAAAGGAAAAACCGTGGTAGAACTTTGAATAATATACATCAAATGCAACGAAAGAAGATTGGAAAGAAAGGCGATGGTTACGTACGAACATTTGGCTCGAGGCCAATCGAATGGGCGGCATCTGAGGCTGGGTCTAAATGGGAGGGTGAGCAAGGCACAAAACTCATAAAGGAACGTGGTTTGAGTTTGCCAAAAACTTTGAAAGACATCTTTATATCTCTTGCACGTAAGGTTAACTTTTCTGAAGAGAAGATACGCAAGATTAATGTTCCAGGATTTGTTCATTCAGGTTTGCATTGTATAAATTGTACTTTCTGAATAAGACTTGATCGAAATTCTAACATTCAGGATTTTCGAAGGTGCCGTCTTAATTAAGACAAACCAACAGGAGGGACCGTCCCAAATAAGGAAAACGGTTACACAATTTAATAAAAAATTTTTTTATACACTTTACAGTACTTTTTTGAGGGGCTTGTGTAACCTAACTCTTTCATTAAACGTGATTAAATGCATTAAGCAAACTCGAAGCATTTTCACTGAGCTTTAATATATTTGTTTAATCCCCGCTAATCCCACACCCTTACATTACTATTCACCTACTTAAGATATGTCCGGGACAAGGCAATGTGTAGAATGCAAAACTACTAATTTGACCAAATTTCGTTCGCTAAAGGGAGAAAAGTGAAAAGAAGCCAAAAAAAATAACCTAGTGAAGATATCATGGAGGGAAGGTATTCTTTTATGTAACATATGCTATATAAGCTTTGTAGAAAATCCTCTAAAAAAAGGTTTCAAGCGAGTGAAAACCATGAACGAGAAGGAGGTAAGTACAAAGATTGATTTCGCTGGAGCCATCAAGTCGATGGCAAAAATTCTTTACAATAGAGAACACTCCAAAAAAAGAAGAACCCATATATTCATTCGACGAAATGCGAAGAATATTTCAAGAAATTGAACCGGGTTTGAAGGATTTCTTTAACTAGCTTTATTCAGCAGTTCGGCCTTCTGAACGTAACAACCAAATGATGGATTGTATGAAGAAGATAATGTTGTTCATCTGCTATTTACTTGCTTCGTTGAACAATACAAAAATTAACGCTTTCAAGTTTGATTTAGCATATTACCTAGATGCATCAGGAACAAGTAATGAAGGCTTGAATACTATGGCGAATCTTGGGGTGATTACAACATCAAGAGCAGTCGATTGTAAAAAAAAAATAATGTCTGATGTATATGATGATTATGTAGAAAATGCTTTTGGACAGTATTCAGAAAATGCTTTTGTGCTAAATGTCGACGACTACCACAATATTCATGTTTAACGGCAACCCAATACTACTGAAACTTCTCAGGCAACACACATGGCAACAATTTTGGCGAATCCATGCTTTACATTAGCGATACCACATAATAAGACAATCAATCCAAGGTTTTTGGACAGTGAATTAATTTCAAGACATGTCGATAGGCGGTTTATCGTGAATCTCAGTGTTTTTTATTATGAACGCATACAGCATTATACAGGAGAATGTTCTGATGAAGAGTTGATAGATAGAATGACAATATATAGCTATAACGATAGGATCGCAGAGAAAAAAAATGATCGCCATATACGTGATTCTATATTATTCAATTTTGTTGAAAGTAGCTTAAAAGGTACAGATGGGTATATGAATGCACTCCAAATTGTATACAATCAAGAGCCGATGCAAGGTTATCTGTTCAATTATGTAATTCCCGTTGTTGTGGATTGGCCTGGTCAGTTTTTTATTCGCAAAGCCATTGCTCAGCGGGTTCTTGTTGAAAATGAAAACGTCCTGAAGTTTATAATGTCCTTTCTTCCTATAATGGGTCCTCTCCATGTGTCTTTGAATGCTCGAGAACTAGTATTTTTGAAGAATTCGCGTTTGTTTAACGATATATACAAAGGTATATTCGAAGGGCGTAAAGAGCTTGGTATGAAACTACGGCCACAGAGAATTGACTTGATGTTACATGTTATGCGTATGGTGTGGTTCGATATAGCTGATGCCGTTTATTCAAAATTTGGCCATACATGCAAGAATATCGAATATATGTATTTAATTGATCTCTTCTCTAATTTAATTCCTCTCGTTCTTGATGTATACGTGGTTCATTATCGTGGAGGTGATTGGGCCATATATGAAGAGGCCTATGTAAGATGCTGGAGTGATCTTTTTCTTCAGTTTGATCGAAGGAATTATAAACGGGCTCCTTTAATGTTTTTTTCTGATGTTTTTTATTGGATGGAGACTGGTCATCCGATGTTTAACATTATTATTAATCATCTTACTTCTCTGAGTGATAGTCCCGTAGAAATTGCTCACAGCATTATTCGAAGACGTACAGCAAAATTTCATATAGTTCAACAGTTGTGAAAGGAAGCACATTTCATCTTCTAACAATGACATAACAATTTATTTCAACAGCATTTCGTAAATTCCGTGAAGTATCCGTATATACCAAAGCAGTTGCATACACTTTCTCAGAAGTATGCTATATGGATTTTAGAGGCATTTTCGAAGATATATCAAATGCGTAACCACAATCCTTTGCTTGTCAAATCCTCGTCTGATGGTATTAACACATATAAACTTCCTTCTTTAGATTATGAAATTACGGATTGACACCTTCCAAGAGGCTTCGTTACTTCTAGAAAACCAAATATATTTGGTTTGTGTGATTTTGTGTACTGCGATCAGACCAACAACAATTTGAATAGAAGTGTTTTAGCTTATGGGCATGGTTATCATAGCTATTGCCTTCAAAGATGTCAATTCAAGTGTTTAATATGTTTAGAATATCTTCAGAATAAAATTAAAAATAATATAAATGCATTGATTACAAGTTTGATGAAAAGTTCAATTGAAAATGAACCCATCGATAAGAATATAGAAGATACAGGCGAGGATGATTTGAATGATGCAAAAGTAATAATAGACAATTTAATAATAGATAATTTATTAGAATCTGCCAAAAAATCATTTTTAGAATTATAAATTTACTATTTTTACATAAAATTTTTTCATTTATATATTTGTAAATTTTCTTTATTGTAATTAATTAATCATTGAAATAAAATAAACTATACAAATGATCTTGAAACGTCTAAAAATGACCTAAAGATGATCTAAAACGATTTCGGAGAATTCAATTTTTAATTTAAATTTTAATTTAAATATCATATTATAATTATATTATCACGTTACATATCATATTATAATTATATTATCACGTTACATATCATATTATAATTATATTATCACGTTACTCTTATATATAACGAAATCCTATTGGTCAAATAATATGTGATAATATCGAAATTTTACGATTTGATTGGTTAATTCTGTGTGACAAAATCGAAATTTTGTGTAACCAGAACGGTCTCTCCTGTTAGACAAACCTCGATTGTCCAAAGGGTATGCATGCCGATATATGAGGGAAGAATCACGTGAGATATATGCAGATATTACACAATTTAGTAATATGTTAAATGCTCTAGTCACCATCATTTACGCCAAGATAAAAAAGTCTCATATACTTGTTTTTACTTTTTAAATTTTACAAGTTGATTTTATTCTTCTCTTGTAGCTCAAAATTTTGCAAACAATGAGGATTGTTAATGACGCGAAGATTAATGACAATCTGAGCAGGTGGAAGAATCCACAAAAAGTTCAAAAAACCGATATTCCCGATTGTCATCACACACCCAAAAAAAGAAAACACAAAAATATAAGTTTTTGATTATACTCAATGATTTCAGCCAGCTTTTATTGTATATGATATTGGTGTGCCAAGTCAAAAAAATAAAGATATATTTCTTGGAATAATGATATGTAAATCAAACTTTTATTAGAACAATCCAATTTCCTTCAAGAGTTTCTGGATCTCCTCTATGAAGGAATTTATTATACTTTGATAGCCAAGATATATCAAGTTCTGATCTTTTGGGTTAAAGATGGAAACTTGTATGAAATTCTAAAATTTCATGCGTTTTATGCAATGTTATTTTTTTTTTTTTCCAGAACATCGTATACATATTTAAAAAAGGTGTCTAAATTTCAATATATTGCCTTCATTATCACTACAACTGCTTTCTTTGCTATTTTCTATCCTAATGCTTTCATCATCAATATCCTTACATCATGACTACCATCATTTTCATCATTTTCGTTTTCATTATTTCTATCAATGGCTGTATCATCTTTTTTTAACGACGTGAAATAAAAATCATATTAGTATATAGATTAATAAAACCAATTAATTTAAGAGATTTGAGAAATTCTAAATTATTAACCTCCTGTTTTTTGTTTTTTTTAAATAATAGAAATAAATAAATAAAACGAAAACTGTTTTAGTTTTCACCATGCTAAATAATATATAGTAAGAAAAAAAATCTTAATAAAATAAATCAACCTAAGAGATTTGAGAAAACTTCTTATCTTCTAATGAATTCAAAAAAAAAAATCTTTGTTCTCATTAACAATCAAATTCATGAATCGAAAGTAAAAAAATTTGAATAATCACGAAAGGATAAAGATAGATAAATAATTCTGCTACCTTAACTTTTTCTTTTATTTTTACTATTGTCACCGATTAAATTTGGGAGAGCGTATTTTTAATTGGTGATAACAATTATTTTTGTTTTGTGTGGATCAGAATGAATAGATTATTAACGAATTAATTTTGTTATTAGCGAATAATTTTGGATAAAGAAGATAATAGTTTTAAATAAAATAAAATATTTATTTTATTTATTTAGTTTTCTTAGTCGAAACTAATTAACTTATCAGAAAGTTACTTTGCAAGTACATTGAATTCAAGCTCCTTATATACAATTCAATTAATTCAAAATTGTAATATTAGAAAGTTCTTCCTTAATAAAGTTAAACAAATTACGACATTATACAAAATAATTAATAAATAAAAATAGAAATAAAGATAAATAAAAATAAAACATATTACGAAAATAGATGTAATACGAGATAATAATAAAATAATACTAAATTAATAAAATAAATAGAGATAAATAAAATAAAATAATAATAAAAATTAAGAATTCGGAATTAGTTAAATTCGGCCAAAAGAGCCTCCAAATCTAATTCCGGTAACACTATTTACAAACGAAAAATAACATAATAAATTCATATATACTAATACGTTTATTAGTCCCATTTCATTATAAATTATATCTAACAACAACAACAACAACAACAACAATCATATTTTCTAAAATAACTTTTTGTTAATACCATAAATAAAAAAAAATCCATGTATATATTGATTTATCAAAATGC